GGCTATGAAGAAGACACCCGGCAGACTGGAAAACGGTGCATTAGTGTCCCTGTTCAAGAAGAGAGACCATTAAAGGTGCTCCAATTATCGGAGCATTTCTTTATTGAGCTACCCGGCTAAATTCTACGAAAAAATGCTAGAAGGAGTTACCGCGGAATATATGACTGCAAGATAGGAGAAGAGGAATGAGGCTTCCAGCCCGGCTGAAACACACTTTGCGAGATTGTTGAGAAATCGTGTGAGTTCGGCCGTATGGTATATATGTGCTTTGTTGACTTGAAGAATTCCTAGGCCCGGATCCTGCACAATAAGCTATGGACGTGCCTGCAAACGTATGAGATCGGTGGCCAGTTGCTATGAGCCGTATAATCACTACTTCTTGGCGGTGCTGGTCTGAGTCAATGGCATTAAGTAGAGGACTTTCAGCGTTGGAACTGGTATCTGCAATGGGTGTTTTCTGTCTCCTCATCTGTTTGCTTTGTACATGGATAAAATTGTCAGACTGGACAGAGGCCACCAGTGCGTCAATGCAGGAGATAAGATGTGGAAATCAGAAGGATGCTGTATGCATACGGCCTTGTTTTGGGATGAACTGACCTCCATCCCTCTCTGGAATGATTCGCAGCTTATTGGGATTTGGTCGGAATCACTGATTGGTCTAAAGCGAAAAGACAGGTGCTTTCTCGTTATTCTGTCTGCTGGACAGGTGTGGAGGTTGACGAAGCTCGGGGTGGTGTCTTCTGGTGGTGATGAAAAATGGAAGGAAGATATCAAGAACCAAATTGAAATGGTCAAAGACGTCCTGTGTGAACTAGTCAGAACGATCATGACTAATGCAGAGCTGAGTCTGACGATTGATCTCTGTGTTCATGTCGATCTTCGGCTCTGTGCTCCCCTATGGTCATGGATCGCGGATCGTGAATGAAAGTTTCGATCTCGGTTGCAAACGGCTGAAATGGGCTTTCTGCGACGAATCGCTGGCCTACACGTCTAGGCCGGAATGCAGATATGTGAGAGAGCCGTGTTGTACAGCTGCAGATTCTTCAGGTTCAGAAGTCACCTCTACTATGGTGTGGCATATCCCTTGAATGTTTGCAGGTAGAAAGGCGCATGTGTTCAGGTGACTAGCCGCAGAAGCTCGGAATATGGCCAGGGATATCCTGCGGCACGAAGGGCTATGCTTCAAACTGGTTACGTTGTGCTGATGCTCAAGCGCTGACACATGATTCGTAACGTTTGAGACACGTTTGACGCGTCTGCCTCCGCTATTGGAAAGGGTCATGGGTCATTGACTTTGAGTGCCTGATTTCCTAGATTTAATATTGCATTACGATATACTCAGTACTGATGACGGCCTATTTTGTCGTGTCGCTGAAGTATGACATGTCGACCGTGTTTGCAACGTTCCAGGTCATGTGTCAGGGTTTGAGTTTCAGCAGAATAAAGTCAGAATTTGGAGCAGAGTCTATCGAGACACTTGTCCCAGATCATTCTTGGCAGTCCCGGGGTGGGAAGGCTTTGAGCAATCGATTAAGCACCTAGTTAGCGCCGATTAAGATGCTTGTAGCGTTAGTGCATGTTTATTGTTGATCTGATGATTTTACCCATTGCACCATTCGAAAGGCGTTTCATTAAACAGAATTTTATTTCTATGCCAAAG